AGGGCTCTGTGCCTTGCAGCAGGCCTAGGAGGGAGTGGAGGAGAGGTGATTTGCTTTAAAAAACCCGAAGCTTGGAGTGTCCCTGTGGCCCCCTTGCAGGCTTGGCTAAATGCCTCTCCAGAACTGTTTTAACTCCAAGTACAGTTGCCGCCACCACCTGAACCGTCCTGGGGGAGCCTCGGGCTGGACTTGCACACAGATCAGAGCAGAGGCCCAGTCTGCCAGGAGGCGGCGGAGTGCAGTGGGGCCCTCTCCTGCCGCCAGCTCTCTCCTCTCTATGCTCCTTCCCTCCAGCCTCCCCGAGGCGTGGATATGACCCTGCTTATGGGCCTCAAGCCTCTGACAGGGCCAGAGCCCACATTGCCCCTCTCCAGCACCCCAGAGGAGTCAAGCGGCCCAAGGACTGAGATAAGGCCCACTTCCAGGCTGGGCTGCTGGAACCCCAGCCCTCCATCTCTGGATCTCCCTGACACTCTCCCCCAGAAGTTTGCAGCTTTGGCAAAATCTGTGTGCCGCCCCCACATCTGTGCTGTCCCCCCTCTTCCTCTTTCCAGCCCTCCCACCACCCCCTGCTCCCCACTGTGCCAGACCCGAGAATGGCTTTGCCTTGCAGCCAGCGCCCCGACAGCTCCCCCTAACGATCTCCAAGCCAATCTGCCTACGGATTCCAGCGGAGGCCAGGATTCAGAGGAGGCTGGGAGCTCAGCGACCGTTCACATTTTCCACCACAATTCACCTGTCTGCACATTTATTGACCCAACATGCACTCCGTCAGCCAATATCATCCTGGGGCCAGTACTTGGCCCCACGGAGCCTCAGTCAGCATCTGTCAAATGGGGAGAACAACGGTACCTCCCTCACAGGGTGAATGGGGGTCAACGAGAAGAGGGGTGGAGCGTCCAGGCCAGCGTCCGGCCGGGAGAACCCGAGCCGTTCTTGGTAGCTGGAACTAGACATAGCTTTAGTTCAGGAGCTTGTGCACATAGCTCGCTCTGGCCCTCAGCGGTGACCCAGCTAGCAGCCTGTTCTCAAAGAGTTCACGTGACCTGGGAGAGAAAGACAGTTGAACATCATGGTGCACTAGCATGAGGGCAGACCCTGTCCCAGAGGGGTGTGCAGCGAGGGCGGAGGCATAAAGAAGGAAGACCCGGGCAGGGCTTTGCTGATGCATGGACGGACTCGCTTTTTAAATAACAGAGCACGTGTGCACATGAGAGAGAGAAGAGAGGCAGGGAGACGAGAGATGGGCACTGTCCACAGGTCTGGTCTCGCCAGATTGCCCTCCTCCAGCCCGCCAGCTCATCAGGTCCTGGGTACTTACGCACCCGCCCAGCATGTCTCAGGCTGGACGGGTCGGGGATTCGAACCACAGTCACCACGAGGGGTCTAGCTTCTCGGGAGCAGCACATCACCGCTGTGCTAGAGTAGGCTCTGGACACTCTGGAAAATGGAGTAAGAGCTCACCTGGAGTCCAGGAAGAAGAGGCGTTGCAGGCAGAAGGAACCACACCTGCAAAGACTCAAAGACAGGAAACAGCATGTTATGGCCAGGATCATAGAGAGCGAGAGGGTCAGAGGAGAGGCAGCATTGCAGGGGGGGGGGGGGGGGCACGCCATAGGAGAGATGGGCCTCGACCTGTGGGCGTGGAGGTCCTGAAAAGGGTGTTAAACAGGAGGTTTTCGGCATGATCATACTCAAGCCTTAAGCTGCACGCACACCCCAGCCTGCAGGGTTTACATAACTTCGCTTTTTCTTCGCGAGCATTTATCCAGCCTCGAAATGTGAGAGCAAGCACTTTCCCTTATTTCCATTCAACCTGAAAGCGGCGGCGGATCCGGCTCGCGTGGTATTGAAATGCAGGTGGCCTGTGCAACAGTGTTTCTAAAATTACCAAAACTAACCACAGCCAGGGAAGGGCCATTATCGGAAACAGATTTTATTACCATGGAAACCAGCAGATAATGCCAAGTCCAGTCATTTTTATTCTCCAGGAAGAGAGAGAGACAAGGAGAGAGAGAAAGGG